TAGCACATGTGTTTGGACTGTGGGGGAAACCGGAGCACCCGGAGGAAACCCATGCCAATGCAGGGAGAACATGCAAACTCCACACAGAAACACCAACTGAGCCGAGGCTTGAACCAGCGACCCAGCGACCTTCTTGCTGTGAGGCGACAGCACTACCTATATATATTATATATTTACTTATTATTAATTCTTTTAAATTAATTATTAATAGTTAATTTGTTTCTATTGCTATTTTTTATTTTAAAAACAAAACTGCTTACTATTAATAACTACACTATTTAATGTGGGACATCATTAATTAAAGTTATCAGAAAATTAAACAAATGCACACTATTTAATCGCTTGAGTAAAATATTAATATAGTGTTATACATTTATTAGGTTAAAAGATTTTCATTAAACTGTATCATCGCCTATATTGATTGCTATTATTTCCTTCATGATAAATGAATCCATTATATAAATGAAACCTGTTTAATTTAGATGGTTTAGCGAGGCCAGCAAACGAGTATTTGCTAAAATGACTGTCAGATAATAGAATGACTGAAATAGGAGACCCTATCTGTGAAGTTCAATAGGTGGCGATAATGCTCCTAAGGCAAGGCAAGGCAAACTTTATTTATAGAGCACAATTTTATACAACCGTAGTTGATCCAAAGCGCTTAACAATGAGATAAAATATTTAAGAAAATAAAAAAATAAAACTTGTATAAAAAAATGTAAGAAAAGGAAATATATGTGTATATGTAATACTAAAATACAGTATAAAATTGAGGAGTTAGAGGAGTTCGTGAACTAACTAAGGAGTTAGTTAGTTCTGGTTTGCCTAAATCGAGTGTGCTAGATTGTGTGTGGTTCTGCGGTTCTGCAGCTGGATATATCTCAATGTAGCTGACTGATTCCAGCCCAAACAGTATCCAAAACCCGCCGAAATGCAAAAACACCCACCCAGTGTTCTGTGTTCACGAAAATCACGTCAGTGACAGATTTTAAGCAGGAAATGACAGATTGTCTCAAACACAATAACTCAACATCAGAACTATCATCAGCATTAATGACCAGGACACATCTAGAGTCTGCTCAGGTCCAGCATTCCACGTCTGTACAACATTCAGCATTTCAACCCCCTCAGCCTCAAGTTAAGTTTTAAAAACAGGAGAAATCTGATATTTGGGGAGAATTATCATATGGGGTATACAACAGAATCCTGACTTTCTTAAGAGAGACCTTCACATGCTAGGCATTGTGGGATGCTGCAGATGTGTCCCAGTGTGGTAATTAGACACTGACGGCTGATTATGATATGAACAATAACTTTTATATGCAACTTTTCAAACAATCTAACAAATTGATTTTCTGTGGCAGAACAACAACAAAAACAACATCCACATCCAATATCTCAAATCCTCTTTGAGTAGGTCATGTTTCCAAGTCACTTAGTCATGTGGTACTCCAGGAAACAGTTCTTGTCTTTTGTGTCATCTGCTGAGCAAGTGGGGAAACTGTTTGTTGCTAATGGACAACCAAGTCCTGCCGTGGAACTTCTGAGTAAAGAAACTCATGAAATATGGATCTGGAGTAATAAGGTAGATCATTTATAACTGTTGCAAATCTGCAACGCCTGCCTTGAGAGGGTTAACAGTACAGCTACACAAAGCCTATTGCGGTTTACCACATGTTTGACAATAATAATAATAATAATAGCCCACTCATGTCAACCTTCATTTCACATCTGCAGAATCCTCAGAACATCCTGACCTTTATTTTAAAATCACAATTCTCATTTTAGCCAGAATCCTGCAGCTCTAGTATTATTTAACCATAGTAATATTTAGTATTGTGTGTGTTTGCTTTGTAGAGTGTGTGTGTGTGTGTGTGTTGTGCAGTGTAAAGTGTGTGTTTGCTGTGAAGTGTGTGCGCATGCATGTGTGTATATGTGGAGGGGCAGGCATGGGGCGTACTCACACTATGTTCAGTTGTCTTGAACCGGGCCAAAGCACGCTTGTTCCCCCCCTCAGTGTGGATGGCGGAAACGGAGACGTGTGAAAACAGAGGCGGGGCTGCCGACATTCGCCTCTCTGATTGGAGCTTTCCCTCAGTATTAAGTAGCCCACACACACAGCTCAGTCCTGCATCCTCTCCTTGTAAGTTCAGACTTGGCAAGAACACATAGTCCGGATCGTATAAAGTCATTCACATCACCCTGACTGCGCTGTTTCACTGTCTCAACAATAAAATGAAAACATGATGCGAGTCTTAACAGACAGCAGAAATGTTGAGGCGTCGTGCAGCTGCATGAGCGTCATCTTCATGCATATTCATAACAAAACAAAGCCGATAACATCACTGCCTCATTCATTTTCATAGAAAATACAGAACACAGCCTCTCTTTTACTGAATATCAGCTTTAATAATCAATAATGGCCATTTTAAAAGTATAACGTACGATAAGTTCATACAATAGAGAAAATAACAGCAGCAATCAGTCAGATGTGCAGAATCAGTGTCCGCGGTGACGTTAGTTAAGATATTAACCTCACTCAAGCTGCGGTCACATTAGAGCGTGTGATATTCTGTCGTACAGCACTGTGAAAGGGGCGGGATTAAGCAAGTTTATTAGACAATAATAAAGCGAGCGATTGCTCCATGTTTTACATTTCTGTCCAGAGAGGTTGTGTTTTGATCCTCGATTGGTCTCACGCTGTCTAGTGATGCGATTTCGCAGGTCAGAGTTCACCAAGCTTGAACTTTACACCGCAGCAACCTGCGAAACTCAACGCATGACCCTGCGTTTCCGGTCTGACGCATTGGCATGCGTATGAATGGAAGTCTAAAGATATGGGAGGAAAAGCCCAGTGTGACCACAGCTTTATACTTGCACTCAGCCAAAACACGTCAGCTGAGAACAAGTCATAGATTCCAAAGACCAAAGTCCGGGAATATGTCGTTAGATAAAGACAACAAGATGACTTAAATATCACATTTAGCAAATATAGTGAGGTTAGATCCAGCGGGAGATCCTCGATGAACAGTCCGACGTGCACAGCTCTCATATGGGTGTGTGCTCAAAGCACGCTGCAACGCAACGCATGTGTGTGTGTGGTCACGTGATGTGCGTTTTCAGCGGTGTAGTGTGGACGGAGAGCTGTTCAGAAACGCTGGGTAAAACGCTAGTGTGGACGCGGATCGTTTTCATTCTGAAACGCTGTTTTAAATCTAAAACACACTAGTGTGAACAGGGCCGAGTCCTGCAGAGTTTAGCTCCAGCATGCTTCCACACACCTGCACTGATGCTTCTAGAAGCCCAGTAGGAGCTAGATCAGCTAGCCCAGGTGTGTCTGATTGGGGCTGGAACTAAACTGTGCTGGACACCGACCTCCCTGACCGAGTCTGGGCACTCGATGTACAGTTAATCATGACTGCGATTAGAGTTTGAAGGGCAGCAATGGTGAAACTCATCTTCTGTGTGGACAGAGCTGTGTGCAGTATAGTGTGTGCACAGTCATACTCATACATGTCAACATCGGGATGTGAAAATAAGGGATATGCCCACCATAATAAGGGATACCCCTTAAATAAACAGTTAAATGGTCAGTAATATGTTTTTGATTATTATTATCTACAAAAGAAAAAATAATATAATATAATAATATAAACAATAAATATATACATTAGCAGCAGATGCATTAGCAACAAGTTCAGCTTGTTAAAATTAATAGCTGTTATAATGAAACACAATCAGGCTATCAAATCTCATCAGCCGTTTCTTCAGTGTGTAACTCACACATTCTGATTATAGAGCAGTGAATGAAGCTCTCATCTATTTAGATTTTTTCATTGATTATATTAAATAACAGGTGTCACTTTAGAAATGCACACATCTAACATTATAATGAAGGCATTCGACTGCTTTTATGCTCATTTAAGACTAAATTAGTTGTATTTAAATAAAAAACACCAACATCAACATCTTTAGATATTATTATTTTTAATAATATGTGTTAATGTCTGTTTACACACACACCCAAAACCCAGACTTTCTCTCCGCTTCAAGTCGCGTGTACAGAATGCGTTTGGGAAACAGCGTTATATGACTGCTTTGAGGATTGCATAGTAGCTGTGACGGCACCTATAATGGAAAGGAAGGGGAATCGTGCTGTTTTTATATTTATTTCAAAGTGTTTCGTGCCTAAACAAAGCGAAAGCACAGAACAGACTCACATTTAAGAGTGAGGGGCGGTCTCTAGTGGTTTGGCAGTATGGTTTGCGTATAGGGAGGATCGACTCTTTAATGTTTATTTGAAACCCTTCAGAGAAAGACTGAAAATACGGAAGAAGCATGGGAAAATACCTTTACAGTATGATAGCGGGATAGAACTGTAAAATACAAGAGAATCCCGAGAAAAACTGAAGGGTTGACAGGTATGCATACTGGGCTGAGAGAAACACAGTGAGTCTCTTTTGAAGTTTCCTGATGTTAAAATAGGATCCAGATCCCTCCATTTTGAGGCCCACCGCAGCTTGTCGTAGGAGTGCGGTTTCCCCACCCTTTTAACATGTCTCTGTAGTAGCGTGTATAATCAAACCAACAGGACAGATCTGTTCATCTCTCTGTGATCATCAGTCATCATCACATGATCAAGAGGGAGTTTCACATGTTTTAAATGAGTGCAGTACAGTCATTTACGTCAGCAGCACAGCCGCGAGTCAGAACAGTTATAGAGGAAGACGCTTCAGTCCCGGTGTGTGGACGTTACATCAGGTTTATTCTGTACACAACATAACAGATATCCACACAGCAGGGGAGATTAACCTGTAGAGCTAAACGCGTGACTGTGTGTGTGTGTGTGTGTGTGTTGTGCAGTATGCTGTGCAGTGTGTAATGTGTGTGTGTGTATGTCTGTATGTGTGTGTGTGTGTGTGTTGTGCAGTGTATAGTTTGTGTGTATGTGTGTTACTCTTGTCTGATTTGGTGTGTGTGTGTGTGTGTGTCCTCCTCAGGATGTGCGTCTGCGTGAGCAGCTGGATGTGGGGGCTCTGCAGGGTCAGATGGAGGATCGGCTGCTGACGGTGGTCTGTGGATCAGACATGGTCAACATCAGCTTCCTCAACTTCTGCGCCTTCCATGAGGACGTGGCCAAGGTGAGGTCTGCGCACACACAAACACACACACACACACACACACACACACACGTTCGCAGAGTGGATAACAGGGCATGTGCTTGTGTGTGTGTGTGTGTGTGTGTGTGTGTGTGTGTGCAGGAGTGGGCTAAAGAGCTCTTCACCCTGGCCTCAAACCTGCTGGCCCAGAACCTGTCCAGAGAGTCCAGTCTGGAGAAAGTGTAAGTGTCCCGTTTCCTCCTCTGTTTTCACCCCACACACACTCTCAGGTGACTAAAGTGAAAGTCTGTTCACTTGTGTGAGCATCAGCAGCACATCAGCAGTGTGTGCAACACACACACACACACACACACATTTGTCCTGCATGAATTATTTGCAGAGCGCCGCTGAATAGTTAACCACTGCACTTGCTGAACGGGGCTATTCTTAGAGTCCATACTGGAGCTGTCCGCACGCATCAGTGACACAGCTAAGCATTCTGGGGGAGACTGGAGCAGTGTGGGAGAGTACACACACACACACACACACACACACCTCACTCATACATCTGCCTGAAACCTTAACACCAGCAGAGTCCACTCTGACCCAGATTACTCTAGACCAGTTGCTTAAGTAAAAGAGGATGAGTGGCGAGCGTCTCGTCTGGATACTGGAATCAGCTGAACAATTCACGGACCACCAGAGTCAGGTCATGGTCTTTAGCCTCCTTGGTAGAGCAACTGACTCCCATGCGGAAGGTCGCCGGTTCGATACCAGCTCGGAGCGGGTTGGGTGGCGTAGAACCGCCGGGGTTACACTTGGTTAGTCCTGTTTAGAATGAGTGTAGAGGCACTGCAGGTGTGTGTGTGTCCCTAATGCAGACACATGCTGAACACTACACACAGTCTCTTTAGTCAACACTGGTTGTGTGACATCAGTGTGTGTGTGGCTGGAGGACTCGTAACTCATCTGACTCTGATCTGCTGTTCACAGGTACTCCAGACTGACCCTGCAGCTGACCACCTGGGGCTCCATTCCTGTGAAGAAGTGTGTATCTGTGTGTGTGTGTGTGTGTGTGTGTGTGTGTGTGGCAGACGAGCAGCTCCTCATCATGTGTTCTGTGTTCCAGCATCTTCCCCCTGCTGCCCGCTGACAGACGGAGAGTGGAGAGCGCTCTGGAGGTCTGCAGCCTGCCCACCGGACGGGTGAGAACCCCTTGATTCTGCAGAGCCACAGTACAGCAGCAGACTCTGTGTTATGATATCCTCTGGTGGAGAGCGGAGCTGTGCTGTGAACGGGAACGCTCCTGCTTCTGTTCAGACTCTCCATGAGGACTCATCTTCATTAATGACGTGTCTCTAACAGAGGGCTTTCAGTGTTTTACAGCTCCTCATATGATCCTCATACAGGGGAGCCACATGCTCAGATATAAAGGGAATCTATATTAGACATCCTTTGGTGTGTTTATCGCCTGTTCAAATGGGGAAATCCTCATCAGCAGCTCTAGTTTATTGCTGTGTTATTAAGGCGTTCAGCAGGCGCTCACAGTGACTGACAGTATGATGTTGAGGCTGGCGAGAGCGCTGCTTATTCTCCTGTTTACATCATTATTCTCTGCCAGTGCTGCGACTCGAACCTGCAACCTTTAGAGCATTAGGCTATGTCTTCCCCCATTATTACATTAGATTTGTTTAAAGTTTCCTGTGTAACGGTGTGTTGATCTAAATCAGGTGTTTTTTTTTATTCCCATCTAGTTTATTGTTATTTATCTAAGTTTATTTATTTATTATTACTATTTATTTATTTATTTATTTATTTATTTATTTGTCATTTTTTATTTATTTTTTTTATTATTTATTCATTATTATTTTATTTATTTATTTATTCATTATTTACTTATTCATTTTTATTTTATTTATTCGTTATTCATTTATTATTATTATTAATATTATTTTTATTTATTCAATATTAATTATTTATTTATTTTACTTTATTATTCTTTCATTAATTTTTTTGTTTATTTATTCATTTATTATCATTATTTTTATTTTTATTTATTAATTATTATTTATTTATTTATTATCATTATTTTTATTTATTTATTTAATTATTTTATTTTATTTTTATTATTATTTATTCATTATTATTTTATTTATTTATTTATTCATTATTTACTTATTCATTTTTATTTTATTTATTCGTTATTCATTTGTTATTATTATTAATATTATTTTTATTTATTCAATATTATTTATTTATTTATTTTACTTTATTATTCTTTCATTAATTTTTTTGTTTATTTATTCATTTATATCA